TAGTTGAGATAAATAGTGGTACAATATGCAAGTAGTCATAGTTAGCTAAGGGTATTGTTGTACAAAGCCAAGGGGTACACACACACACTCTAGTGTAATAACATTATCAATCAATGAGAAACATTTTATCCTAATCCAATCTCTCTATACTTTTCTCCTTTTCTCTCTAATCTGTTTTCTTAGTCAGGAAGATATTGGTTTCTACAATTCATTCTAGACAAATTAGGATTTGATAGGATTTTAATAGACTTTGAAATCTAGGTGTAGTTGATTAAAATTTTAGAAGAGGATTTTAAAAGATTCTGAAATCATGATGTAGTTAAATTAGGATTTAAAGGATTTTAAAAATCCATTCAAATCCAGAGGTAGTCAATTATGATTTTAAAAAAGTCCACACAAGTATAGGTGTAGTCAAAATCTCAAAAATTTAGTAGGATTTTATTAGGTGAAGGATTTTGATGGATTTTAAAGAGGTGGTATAAATACCAAATGCCATCCAAAATTTAATCCTAACCCCTCTGATTCCTTTTCACGCCAGACGAAGATGAACAGGCCATTCCATCTATCTGTCAAGAAACTATCTTTTTCACCGATGCTCATATCGAGCAGAAGAAAGTGTCTGATGCCATTTGGCTTTTGATCTCTGTCAATACGACGCTATTCCCACTCCAGTCAAGTTGATTCTCTGAAATATCTTATGTATGATTTTTCACCCAGACCTTGAAAATTTTCTTTTCATTTCTTCCAAACTTTGAATAATTTTTTTCTACGTTGTATGTTTCGAAAATGAACTTGTGGTTGTTGATTGAAACGGGAATCACAATTTATCTTTGTTTTGTGACTCTCTGCATTCCCAGTTCCACTTTCCACTTTTGTGGGTACTATGCATATTTAGCCTCCAAGTTGTTTGATTAAATGCCTCCAAGAAGTATATGGGAATCATATTGGGTGACTACTGCAACCTGCAAAGGTTCTAATAAGAGCACCTTCGAGTTAGGTCAGGCGACGCACTCAACTGCTTCAATGATTAGTAAATCTTTTTCCTTGTGTGTGATGCCCATGTAATTCATTTTGGTTTGTATATTGCACTATGTTGAATAAATAAGCAATACATAGGCAACTGGTTGTACTTAAGGACAAGAAAAGCATTTATCAGTTGAGAAGATGATGATGATGAATTGCTGGACAACAATTCAATTGATGTTAATTTATGATTTCCTTCTAGCTTTTATATAGCAGGAGTTTGACTATGACTGCAAACTATATTTATAATTGAATGGCCTTTGCTAAAACAGTTAGCAGACTCACTAAGGAAGTGAAGAATTGGAAACTGAGACGCATAGAATAAGTGAGACAAATTCAGGATCTCCTCATCCAGTTTCATCTCCTGTACTTCGTGGAAGGGCTCCGCTGGCTCACAGGGACTTGTTTAGTCCAACTGAATATGTTAGTGCAAGGAGTCCATCTCTTTCTGGTAGTAGGAGCTGAAAAGGTTCATAATGTAGTAGGAAGTCTGGAAGTGTTCCGTTGATATGCAGTGTTTTAAATATAGTTATGCCAGAACGGATTGCACCTTATATGCAATGAAATGTGTTCTGAAAATTGTTGGTGGTGTAGGTGCAAACCTTTTTTTTTTTTTAAACAAATGTTGCACTTTTGAGTAAATGGGGGACAATCATCCAGCAAATTCCACTTGTATTTTGCATGCAGATGTAATGAAATTTTTTGTTAAAATCAGTTATCATTGTATAGATTTTGGGTTTCGGATTTTGAATAAAGTAGCATTGCGATGAGGTTACGTTCTTATCTTCTTTTCCTTAAACAAGGAATAAGAAAAATTGCACCTACGCCTACTAAACATTGGGTTGCATCCCTAATTGCCCTAGGAAATCCATAAAAATCTTAAGAAATCCATGAAAAAACTTCATACAAATCCATACAAATCTATAATAGAAATCCATACAAATCTGTCAAAATCCAAAAGAATTGTAAACTCTATTAAAATCCTTTAAAATCTGTCACTGAAAAACAATCTATTAAAATCCTGAGAAATGCAAATTGACTACATCCCCTACATAGTTACATTTTTAAATTCGTATTTCATAACTTGATTCAAATGTCGATTCGTTACAACAGTAGCGAACTTTTTCTTTCAATAATTTAATCTGATGTAACTCTGTTTTTGTGCTCTCATGTCTAGGTTGGTCGAGGACATGGGGAGAAGAGCATTTTGGAAATGGGTACGAAAGGAAATAAACTTGCTGAACTGCATTGTCATCTGTTGTTCTGGTTTTTCTTAGACAAGTTAACTTGCTCTCTCTTTGCAGTAAGGTGCACAAATATGGGAAAAGCACGACAGGGGTAAGCTGGGATATTGTTGTGGATGAGGAGACCTATTACGAGTAAGAGGCTGGACTTGGTTCTGGTTCTGGTTCTGTGCGCATATAGTATGTTGAAGCAGTCAAAAGGATTTCAGGGGAACCAAATATAAATAATTTAGATTACATCTTCTGGTATTGCTCTTACTGTAAAAGTAATTTTGATCTTTCACTTTTTGATGAAGGGCTGAGCCGCCTTACGGGTGGGCAGATGTTGTTGGTGACTGTAGCCAACTGCTGTCAATTAAGCCTCGGGAAAGGCCAGCTGGCGTCTACCTTGCCCTTGATTTTGGATCATCGTCGCCTTCAGTTGATGAACCACCAGATGGATTTTCTCCAATATCGTGCGGCTCAAAGAATTTTGTATGCGTTTTCGCGTATTTTTGTACTCTGAATAATTCTAATCAAAATCCATTGCTCCTAAGCTAAGGTCAGAATTTGTAGCATATAAGGGAAGGTTAGCAGATACTTGCCAATTATCCAAAGCTGGATATTAAGGTCTTTAAGCTTAATATCTTTTGGTATGTGTAGCATCTGCTTGGAAAAGGTTTCAACTTTAATGTCTGTATGTGTTATTACTCTTCACTGATTGTCAAGAACTAGGATTAAAGAAAAGCGTCCTTTAAAGTTTAAACTGGAAGGGGGCAGGTTATAAATTACAGGTGAAATGAAACTAGAAATATATAGTCTTATGATTTGTGTCTAAAAACACAATAAAGAATATTACGTCAATCCATGATAACAATAAGATTATTTTTCATGTGGTTCACCATGAACCACCTCTTTTTGATCACCTATTATACTTGAATATGATTTTCAATTTGTTGGTGCTACAACAAAAACATGTCCTTAACTGTGACAAGTAAGCATTATAATTCCACTTTGTGGATTGATATTAAGTCGGCTTATGGAGTAATATAAGGTCATGTCAAGGTTGAACATTTCTACATAAGGTCATTAAAATTGAAGTTTTTTTTTTATTTTTCGTTAGTTTTCTTATTTTATAACGCGTCACTAATAAATATTCGTACATTATTTTGATTAACCAATTTTCTAGGAAAATGGCTTTTGTGAATTGTGGTTAGACATAGTATTTGAATTTTTTTTTTTTTTTTTTCCTGTTGAAAATTGCATGGCACGGTTAATAATTTATCTATCATTATTTTGTTTGAAAAATTAGCTTCTCTATCAAATTTGAAGTCTGAATATGCCAATAGAACCATATAATTATAATAGTTGGGACAGATCTTTTTGTGACTTTTTAATGGGTATATTGTTCCATTGCTTTCTTGCAGGTATATATATTTTGGCTATTTGAGAATGTGAATGAATACGCAAGGTCTTGATGATACTATGTTTTTGGCTATTTTTAGTGTTTACGATCTGATACCTCATTGACCATGGGTTTGATTCTATTATATCCCGTTAGTTTGATTCTAATATCAGTGAGGCTACTAACCTTCTGGATTCTATTATTTTTAGTGTTTACAATTTGATACCTCATTTACCCAAAGATAATCTTCTGGATTTGTCGTTTTTTTTTATTTAGGGATTAGAAACTTTGTCCATCAGAACTTGGATGTCGTCCTCGGCATCAGTGCATTCGTCTGACGTCGTTTATGCAGCCTTTGAGCTCCGCCTTCGTTCCTTGGTAGTTGTATCCTATCAGCACTGCCTTCTTCACCATTTCTGAAGATTTCCGATCACTCTCTCTGTTTTTTGCTTTTTTTATTTTTGTTTTTTTTATTTTTTTTTTTGTTTTTTTTATTTTTTATTTTTTGTGAGAGAAGGAGAATTGCATTGTGGTGCTCTGTTTGATATTGCCTTAAAATTAGAGTTTTATTATTTATTTATTCCGGAATTACAATAATATTTTAATATACAAATCTTTTGTTTAATTAATATACAAGTTGAATTAGTTTTTTAATTTGGTTTTGGTTTGGGTTGGTGCCGGCAAAGAAGAACAAGATAAGGACTTGGATGCACGTCCAGGCTTTTAATTGCATACCAATTGCTGCATGATATATTTTGCCATATTGGCAAGATATTATGCGAATGACTATCTTATCTTTTAAAATTGGTACAAGTTAAATTTAGAGTTATCTTGAAAATATTTGTAGTATCTTAAGCAGTCTTGAATATACCCATAACTTGGCTGTTTAATTCCTGTTTGAACTGTCTTTGGCTGAACGCAGGCGCCACGACCGCCACTCAAATACGTTGTTCTATTTGTACAAGCTTTTTCACTTTTTTTTAAATCAAATTTCTTTCTATGTAATTTGCATGTTAGGTGGGAGAAGTTGGTTTGGTATTGCTTAGTTTTGAAAAAAAACTGCTTCTGCTGTGATGTGAGAATAAGCAGCTGTGAAATAAAGCAGCAGAGTATTTGGTAAACATTTTTGTAATAGTGCTTTTGAAAAAAAAAAAAAAAAAAAAAAAAAAGCAGTATTGGTCTTCGAAATTTTTTTGTTTTCCGATTGTGTTTCTTACTAGAATTTGAATGCCGATATGGTTATTTGTAGAGATTTTTTTGGAATTTATAGGATACTGATTGTATTATGCATTGCATGGTTGGTGAGAGGTAATACCTAGGCGTTTGACTAAACACTTTTTTTTTTTTTTTTTTTTTTTTTTTTTTTTGTAATAACGCTTTTACTTGTTTTTTAACTGCACTTTTTAAGCAGTATGAGAAACGTGGGAAGAATTGAAGAGAACATATTAGTGATCCTCAATTCTTCCAAACGAGGGAGACCAGGTTATTCAGGCTATTGCATTTGGTTCAGACTCCTATACATGTGTTGCTCGTCGTGGAAGGAAAGACGGATGGAAAAGCCGAGCTCTCTCTCAAGCATGCAAGAAGGTTCGACTCTCTCCCACCCTTCTCTCGCTCCCAAACCTCGACTTCTCTCTTTCATTTTCTTGTTGAAAACGATTGTTTCTTCAGTACTTTCACTCTTAAACTACAAACCATAATGTATTCTCGCTGAAAATAGTGAATATGATGTCGATTTGAAGAAAAACTTAGCCCATAAAAGGTATTGTTTTCTGTGAGTTCTCCGCTGGAGTAATTTTATGCTTTCAATATTATGTGTTTAGATGTGTAAATTTGGATTTAAAAATAGGTTTTGTGTTCAAATTTTGTTTTTGTAATTTTGGGGGGTTTTGTTTCTAACCTCGGATTCTATATCTTCGTGTTTAATTTGGTTTTGTTTTCAGACTCGGGAGACTTTTTTTTTTTTTCCTTCAGATTTTAGGGCTTTTCTGTACTCAAGGTAACATTGGCCTCGAGGTGACATCTATGAATCTGACATATTTCTATTTAAATTTAATGAAAATAATATTACTGAAAATATAACTTTAACCCTTCAAACTCATTTTCTTTCATATAAAACCCGACATAAATTTTTTACTCGAATAAAACCTAATGATTAGACTCCACATAAGCAAATTCATTACTTATGTTTGACTTTACACATTTTAATTTTTTCAAATGCCTATAATACCCCTTTTTGCATGTTTAATGTGCATAATTAAACATATGTAGATTTTAAGGAGGATTAATGATTTTACAAAAAAAATAAAAAAGGTACTAATATTCTAAATGCATTGCATGTTATATGAGAATTCAAGATTTCCACATTTTGTAATTAATTTGGTTGATTCATGTTTCTCTCACTCCATAAAATTTGCTTCTAATTTGATATAGGAATTAATTGGCAAGTTTTCTTAATCTTAACAACATTTTTCAATTTAAATATATATATTTTTTTTTAGTGAAATAGTCTATCTTTTAAAATATTTATCAATAAAATAATGTACCTATTGTTCAAATTTTAGGATAAAAATTTACTTGTTCTTATTTAACAATAATGTATCCACAATGTTATTTTTGTATGAATATAATTTACCTACTTTTTGATTTTATATGAAACTAATTTACCTACTGACAATAATGTATCTACAATACTACATAAAAGATTTACCTTTTTTAACAACAATAGTGTATCTACAATTTTGTTTTTGTATGAATATAATTTACCTACAATTTAACTTTTCAAAAAATATATCTTCTATTTTATGTTTTACTATCATATGTATGTTTATGTGTTCACAAAATAATATAGTTAAGAGATATTGTAATGCATTTATATTAATCCATTATTAGACTGGTAAAAGAAATTGTTAAAAACGTTAGCCATAATGGTTGGCTAATAATGGTTGTATGAGAACAGTTATAGAAAGTTGTGGCATAAATTGTAAATAACTTATATTAATAGGTTACTTGTTTTCTTATGTTGCAATTTATTTCAATTTTGGGTCTTTATTGGATGTTGATTCATAGATGGGTTTTTATCCGAGATATATGAGTTGTATGGGCCTATATCTAAACAACCCCTAATATTATGCTTGGTTTGAGCAATGAGGAAATTAACAAGACCGCTGTTTTCCTTTATTAGCTTTCTGTTGAAAGGTTGGGTTGAATGAAGAAGTATGTACATGTTGTGTCCTTGCCTTCAAAGTCACTTTTCAGAAAGTGAGTATACTTTCTTCTTATTTTTTTATCTTATATTTTGTATACACTTCCATTTCTATTAATCAGTAACTATGTTTTATGCCTGACAGCTTCAATCTTCTGGATTCCCACGTATGGCTTGAATTCTATGGATCCCCATCTGATCGCAATGTCGATCTCTTCGGAAATTTATATCCGTTCACCTACTTTCTTTATGTATTTTCGACATTCAACATCAAACGCTCTTCTATTATTTTTACTAATATGTAGGTTTATTGGGATATTTGTGCAGCTTATTCAGTCATAGTGTGTCATGGGATGCTTGGGTGCCTATATTGTTAGTCCTGAGTGATTCTGCCTAATTGGTGATCTTAGATACATACGAACAGCCATTCATGATTGATTTTTCCAAGTATAAACATTTGAATCGAACTGTAAGGTAATCGTGTTGTAATTAGTGACTCGAATTGTTTTGCTTTTGTCGTCAAATTATGTAGCAGTAGCCAAATATAAACATTTGAAATAACATTGCTTAAAAGAGCGGTTTTAGTCCGAACTCAATTCTTTTCGGGGACATATTGTAGGTTGATTCACATTCTGGGATGTAATATAGTTGGCGTGTTGGGGCTGATCGTGGAGATTCTGTTTACACTGTAATTTCTGTTGAAAAGAGTCCATATATGCTGCTTAAAGGCTGGTATCGACTGATTCATGATCTGATTACTCGAGAAGGTCCATTTCTTGAAATAGCTTGCATCCTTATTGCTGGTTTGACAAGCATTCTGTGGCTAATTGTGGTTGTTTCAAGTATCGTGTTGGCAGCTTTCATGAACATTTTAATTGGATTGTATGCATCAGTTGTAGTATATCAGGTTTGCTTACACCAGACTATAATCATTGTAATCTCCCTGGCCTTTCATGATAAGTAAAATTATACATTTTTTTAACCGTTTGGAAATGCAAGAGAGATCTTAGGAAAGGTGTGGTACATGATTGCAATGATGGCTGAATTTGATGAGTACACGAATGATCGGCTATATCTTCAAGGGGGATCAATCTTTCCAAAGTTAATGACTTTCCCGCTTATGAAATATTGTTCCTTAAGCTCATTAAGTTTTACCGCAGAAAGTTACTTTCAGAAAGTGAATAGACTTTCTTCGTATCTATCTTATATTTTGGTCATTTCCATCAATCAGTAACTATGTTTTATGCCTGACAGCTTCAATCCTCTTGATTCCCATGTATGACTTGAATCCTATAAAATTGGCCATTGGGAATGAAAAGTCGCTTCATTGCTGTATATTTATCATTTTTGGTTGTATCATGTGAAATTAAGTGTCGCTTGATGAGCTTAGATTCCTAAAAGGTTAGATATTAAAATGACATCAATTTGCACAATGAATGATTCAAGAGGTCTCAAATGAGTTTTATCGATATTAATAACAAAAAATCTTGATATTTTAGTATAGCTAGCGAAAATGAACGGTTCGATATTAAACTGTTCAAATTCGTGGATTTGGGTAAGAAACTAAGAAACCCTGATATTTTCTTTCGGTTTTAAGAGCTGAAATGGACATGCATGTGTTTTTCTTTGTGAGAAATAAGAAATTGAGAAATTTTTTGTTTATCATTCTGGAGTGGGAGGGGTATTGTCAGAAATAAGAGAATTACTAATTTTAATCAATTTGATAAATTAAGAATATAGAGGTAGCGATCTACACAAAAATATGTTAATAAATTGGTTGATGGGTTTTCAATTCCGTGTTATTATTGGCTCTGATGCTTTTGTTTGACTTATGTGTATGATAGAATTGATATGTTCTGTGTATGTGAGCTTGCTTAAAATATAGCTAGGAAACATCTTTCCTTTTTCATTTGGGCAAACATTTATGTCCTACACTGTTAACTTTCTTTGATGTTTACTCTGGATTTTATAAGTTATTTTTAAAGTTTGGCACAAAATTGCTTCTCTTTTCTTGGGGTGCAAGGAAACGAAGGAAGGGAAAGAATCAAAGTCTGGATTTATCAAATACTTGGTAGATATTCCATGCATTTTGCAGCTGGAATCTTTTGGTAGATACTTAACCCTTTAATCAAAGCCTATATATCCCAATAGGTTTTGTAAGTGGCATCAAATAATTAATTGCTTTTTTCTTGGTAAGTACCAAAATGTTTACACTTTCAGCTTAACAGAAAATGATAAATTGAGACAAACTTGGAACCTAATAATCAATATTAGCAAACCCATAAACTTATTTCGTGACTACCATGATATTGTTTCAATATTCTAATTTTGCTTGCAATTTTGTTCTTTCTAGGACATTAAAGTGCATTTTTGGTTTTTAAGTTTCACCATCAAACACCAACTGTTTGATTGTGATCTCTCTGTGAGATTGGATATATGACTTAAAAATTATGTTAATAAATGTTAATTGTGATTCAATTGTTTTTTCAATTATGTAGGGAGACGCAATCTAAGTGACTGTAAAACATGTCGATTGTGCTTTACTTGATCAAAAAATAGAAACTGCATGTGTGTATTATGAGAAGAAGCGGAGAGCAATCTGTCTCAATTTTGGAGTGTATTGGAATCAAAGAAACTAACTCAAGGTGCTAACTTTGAATTTTCTTGAAATATATTAATTATTTTAGACGTAGGAATTCTCCGTGTTTTATTTGGTAGTTGAAAATATAAATTTGGGACTTCTTCCATTTAGTTATTTGGGAGTTTGAATTTATAAATGTAGATTTTTGTTTGTTTGCCCAGTTGCTATTTCAAAGCTGGAGGAGGCATTGTGGATTAATAATAGGAAATATGATGCTATGTGGTGCTGGGAAATGCTTAAACTGCTTGCGCATTATGCACTCCGAACCAAATGAGGCAACAGTTCCAAAAGGTGTTGCAGTGCTTCCATAAGGCCTTCAAATAGGTACTTCCACTTACAAATCTCAAAGAAACTATATTGTTTTTTCAACTTTCAATGTGTAATAAGGAGGGTAGTGAGATTGACTGCATAATTTGTAATTTGGGTTTAGTGACTTATAAAATTGCAATTTCAAAGATCTTAAATTATAGCTTAGTTATCCATTTTTGAAATTCATGTGCAGAGTAATTGATAGATGTAATGCTATTTAAAAATTGTTATTACTGTGATTGTGCAATGCTTACTATGTATTTGCTTAGCTTAATTATAAATTACGGGTGGTTGAAAGTTAGAATTTTATTCATGCAGTTTGTGCAGAGAAGAGTGTCTCATTACAAGGAACTCAATCCAATAGAATATTTACTACTTTTAAAAGCATTTTGTGAACTTGCTCAAGTCAATCCTTTATTTTCATCTACTTTTTATTTCTTTATGTCTAGGTCATTTACATGGTTTGTAACCATTAAATCACTCAACTTTATATTTACAATTATGTTTCTAATTGTTGATATCAATTAAAATACTATTATTCAGGTTATTAGATTTTATGCTATATGTTAACATATTCATTTTAATAAGTACCACTTGCTTTGATGCATTGAAAATGCTAATTTTGTGACAAGAAAATAATCTTATTTGCTGTTTAATAAAACTTATAATTAGAGTGTGACATCCCGTCCCGGGATTATTAGAACGCACATGTGAAATTACTTATTTGCCCCTAGTTCGTTTTTATCACGTTTTTGGTTGTTTGTGTGGTGTGTCATGTGTTGGACCACACACACACACACTGTCACACTCTTCCTCTCCCTCTGTCTCTGTCCCGTGTCTCTCTCTCCCTTTCTTCTTCTTCTTCTTCCTTCGACGTACGGACAAACATCAAAACCACCCAAATCATCACGGATCGAGGGAACCAACTACATCATTGAACTCGTGAGGCTGAGAGGAGCACGATCGTACCATTTTCAGGTAAGAACTTCATCGTTTTCACGTCGATTCGACAATGGCAGTTTCGAGCACTATTCATGCAAACTTAATCTAGCATGTTTTTGGGATTTTTAAGGTTGTAGTTGTGTTGGTGAAGTCCCAAGGAGCTTGGGAGTGCTTCGTTGGTCGAGTTTGGACGTCGGGATAGCTTGGTTCGAAGTTGGCCGATTCTTGGGTTGTGTGGACAGGTATGATTGCGTGATTTTTAGCCCTTAAAACTTGTCTAGATGTGTTCTACTAGTCCTAAGCTTCATTTTGGTGCAAAAATCAAGAAAAATGGTTGAAAAACGAGTGAGAAAACACGGTTGGAAGTTTTCCCAGTTTTCCGGCGCCGGCGACGGCGCCGGTGGTTCGCCGGAGAAGATGACGGAATATTCCTAACGGCGTCAGTTGACGCCGTCAGTGTGCGCCACACGTGCCTGCGCGTGGCCGGCGCGTGTGGCCGTGCCTTGGCCGGCGCGTGGGGGCGCGTGCGGCGGAGGAAAATTATTTTTAAAATATGGTTGTGATCCTGAGGTTGTGTAGAGCACGTTGATATATTCAATTGTCCATTTTGAGCAATGTATGAGAAGTTATTACGAGAAGTTGGTTATGTGCTCTAAAGTTAACGTTTTTATAGTTATTTCGCATATAGGTGACACGTACCCCGAGGACGAGCGTGGTCACGCGAGGCAGGGGGGCTACGACCCTTCCACGTATCAGTGAGTGGGCTTTTGTTTTCCGTATATACCTATATACTATATTTTCCCAGAAATTGAATAAATGTCGATTAGTTTATGCCATGCATTATTTCATCATTATTCGTGCATTGATGGTTATATTAGTAGTTGCATATATTTATACATATGCATATTGGGTGCTGTGGACGCACAGGTAAGTGCCAGGTAAGTGGTATTCATATTTACTTTCAGCAGTAGTTTGAGATGATTAGAGAGCTCATAATCTGCACCCCCGGTGTTAGTGCTCCCGCCCAGAGTAGGGCACAGTCCTTCACATGATGTTCACCTCCCGCACCACACGCTCAGCTTGGATCCAAGTTAGGTGCACAGTCCTGTCGTACAGACCACTTTAGGTGGTTCCGACTCGTAGGTGACTCGCGATTATTCGCACAGTCTTCACGTGATCGTAGCACTAGAGCGTACATATGTTTTACACCCAGGCCTGTCGTACATACCACTTTAGGTGGTTCCGACTCGTGGGCAGGTTCAGTTATTGATTGTGAGATTTGAGCTCTAGATGCAGCCGTACATGTCACGTTAGGTGACTCCGGCTGCCAGATTATATGATATTGATATGTTTATACCTGGGCACTTGCATATCGTTATGAGATTTCGGCATGGCATATTATCGAGCATGATTGACATACCTGTGAGCATGTTTGGCATACCTATACATACGTATATATGTTTATTTTCTGGGAAGTATACAGGTTTTACGGCGAGGGGTTATAAAGTATTTTATAAATGGTTTTCGAAAGATTTGTTTTTGCCCACTCACGCTTTTGTTTTGCGCCCCTCCAGGTTCTAGTTGCTTAGCTGTTGCGGTGGTTTCCCCTGAGGGCTTTCCGGCGTTTCTGACAGACACTCACCATTGTAGGGTCACCTTCGGGTGTACTATTGTTGTCGTTTTCATTTGGGCTGCTATAGACCTGCTCTGAAATTGTATCTCACTTACTAGCACTTGTTTTGGTACTTTGTATGCTAGTTTTATTTTATTCGTACTTTTACATTACTACTTTATTAGTTTCCGCACGTGCACATGGCTTCGTCACCGTTGTGTGACGGCCAGCACGCTCCGATTTCGGTCGGGGTGTGTCATAGAGAATCTGTTAGAAGAGAATGATACATAATTATTCATGCAATTTGTAATCCCACAGCAACGCTCAAGCATTACTAGCTAGTTACACCTATTGTGATGGGATTTGTGTGAGCCTTTTGAGTAAGTGTAATGAGAATTGGCTTTGTTGTCCATTGCCAAATTTTTATTGAGAAAGTTTTTGATAAGTGGACGGGTAAGCATTTGATAAATTTGATTTAAAAGCTTTGCCTAGCTTCTACTATTTATGCCATATGGAGAGAGAAACAAAATGATCTTCAGAAATGAAAGCAAAAATTCAATGCACGACTCTAAAGACCATCATCAATTCTATTTAGTACACTAATAGGCTGCTGAAAGTTCAGCACAGCAGCCGTTCTTGCTGATATATAATAACAATTGAATACGTGCTTACTTTTTATTTACAATTTTAATTATTTAAACACGTGTTTAAATGTAATTGAATATTAGTAGGAGCTGTGTTGAACTTTCACAGCTAAATAGTGTTCTTTTATTAAATTAATCCCTGTCAATTTTAAGCCTTTGGTGAATACGTACCTTTTTGAAATGGATCCCATCTGGATCCAAATTGTGGGATCCTAGGTATCCTTATATTTTAGTCATTCATCGTGCACTGTGCGGTCAGAAATCATTTGATTTTTTTATTTAAAATTAAACGCAAATAATATCTGATGAAAACTGATCACACGATGTACAATAAACAGTTAGAATGTAAGGTTCCTAAGATCCTTACAAAGTAGATCCAGGGAGGATCCACTTCCTTTTTTGTTGCCTTTTTTTGAGCTGGTCGGCTTTCGTGCCTAGTTGTTTTCTTTATGGATTTTTTTACAAGTCTACGTGCCTTTTTGTTTGGTGTTAGTCTTCTTGGGGCTATAGGTTTTTAGTGATTATCCTTTTTGTTGGATTATTGTCATTTTTTTTATTTTAAAAAGACTAGTAGTAAAAGAAAATGATGACACAAATAATTAGAAGAACAGTATTTGATACCTAGGTTTCATGCCCCATCTTAAGAATTAGCATGAATCTTAAATTACAACGTGAATTAGGGTAAATCTTGAATTAAGACTATTAAACTTATATAAATAATTTTATTTTTTAAAACAACGGACTAACTAGTGGCTTCTCCACTACAATTTACCACTCCAGGGACTGTGAAGATTTACAGAAACATTTCAACCTCTCATGTCCATCATCGTGTGCTTTATCAACACCAAGAATCAAACCCATAGCATGCCTGTGAAATATGAGTCTAAAATTCATCCCAACTTCTGGATCACTTTGTGATGGTTTACATATCTTAATAATTCTTCTTTTGAACAAACAGCATTACCTACACTAAGGGGGAGTGGATAGGCTAAGCCTCACAATAAGCTATTAATAATGTGGTTCAAATTCTCCTTTGACGAGAATAGAACCTAAGACCTCTCACTTATAAGTGAAGAGAAATACTACTTGTAACATCCCACATCGCCCAGGGGAATGGATCATGTAAGCCTTATATGTATATTCTCATCTCTACCTAGCACGAGGTGTTTCTGAGCACTCACACGAGAACTTCCCAGTGGGTCACCCATCCTGAAATTGCTTTCGCGCGAACTCGCTTAACTTCTGAGTTCCTACGGAACCCGAAGCCAGTGAGCTCCCAAAATGCCTCGTGCTAGGTAGAGATAAAAATATACATATAAGGCTTACATGATCCACTCCCCTGGACGATGTGGGATGTTACAAGTAGTATTTCTCTTTACTTATAACTTATAAGTGAGAGGTCTTAGGTTTTATTTTCGTCAAAGGCGAATTTGAACCACATCGCCCAGGGGAGTGAATCATGTAAGCCTTATATGTATATTCTCATCTCTACTTAGCACGAGGCCTTTTGGGAGTTCACTGGCTTCGGGTTCCATAAGAACTCCGAAGTTAAGCGAGTTCGCGTGAGAGCAATCCAAGAATAGGTGACCTACTAGGAAATTCTCGTGTGAGTTCCCAAAAATAAAACCGTGAGGGCGTGGTTGGGGCCCAAAGCGGACAATATCGTGCTACGATGGAGTCGAGCTCGGGATGTGGTGAGGGCCCAGGCGGGGATGTGACACTACTAGACCGTAGTACTAAGTAGCTATTTATTTAAATAATTAAATGGGAAGAAAACATAAATAAGAAGGGAAAAAAAAACATTTTTGCTTTAAAAATTGAATAAATTACATCTAATTTCACAACTCGAAAACTACTAAAAATTTGCACATGAGTAGCTCTTATTTCAAACAATAGAATAAAAGACATCAAGACCTTCATTTTATTTTATTTTTTGTACAAAGCTACATATTAAAATTCTAAAATGGTATGAATGAATACAATTTGAAACATCTTAACCGAATCCGTTAATCAATATAACTGAACACCCAAACCATGTCTTTGTCCAAAAAGAAAAAAAAAAAAACACCCAAACCATGTCTTATTTAATGCTTATACCACATGATCTGAGTGATTGAGTTTGGACTAAATTCAGTTCAAAGAAGTCCAAATGGACAAAATTATTAATTGTCTAGGTGACCTTTTTTTTTTTTATGTTGAACAAATGATGTTATCTACACTTAAGGGGGATGGGGATGGGCTTAGCCTCACAATGGGCTAGCAATAATGTGGTTCGAAATCACTTTTGGCGATAATCGAACCTAAGAGCATCTCCAATGTAAGTTCCTATATAGGGACTCCGACCACCACTTTTGAATACTTATTTAAGGACTTAAAGCAAATCTTCGAGCCCCTAAAAGAATATTGCCTCCTAGGGCTGGGCAATTTAAAAAAAAAAAAAAAAAAATCTAGACTGACCAAACTACACCAACGGTTTGGTTTGGTTTTTTGTTTATTTTTTTATCTTTTTTTTGGTGAGTAAACCAAACCGCACCGACTAAAATTGGTTTGATGAGCGGTTCCTAAAATTCTTGAACATTGGTTAACCGAACCAACCCGTGTGTTTGCTTTTATTTGTTTTAATTAGAATAGAGACCTTAGTGGTGATGGTGGTGTTTCGTCTGTATGTCTAGGATGACTATTTTGTTGCCTAGTTTGTGTCGACATCACATTTTCTTTACTTTTCTTGCCTTTTGGTTGTTTGTTCTTATGGCCCCATTTTGAGTGTTTAATGGATAACACTTTTTGGTTGTTTGTTCTTGTGGCCTCTTTTCTCTCCCCCTTTTTTCTCTCAGTTTCAAACTTAGTTCTCAAACCTAGCATAGCAGCCTCCCAGCCGCGTCCTTCATTATTCCTTCCTTCACCACCATCGTGAATCTCTCCAGATGACAGCTTTCTCTCTCTTTCACTCAGGAGTCATACACAAACCGAAAACCAATCAAACCAACCTGCCATTGTTGGTCAACCGACATGATCGATTTTAGACCCAACTTGATTGGTTTTGGTTTGCAATTTTGGACTAACCAACTAGTTCAGTTTGGTTTCGGTTTTGACCCAAAAGCGACCCAACCCAGCTCGCGCCCACCATTATTGCCTCCAATGGTAGAGTCCTAAGAGAATTCCTAAATTTGAAGTTTTTACAATTTTATGTAATAATTTGATTAGATGCACATTTTTTGTTTATGTTAACTTTTTTTTTTAATTAATTAAAACAATTAAAATTAAAAGCATTAAAAGTATTAAAATCTTCAATCAAGATTGTGGGTGACACATCCCAACCCAAAATGTCTACTAGGAATCTGAATCGAGCTGTGTTGGCCGACACCTGGAAGGTGATGAAGCCATAAAGTACGGTGATGTGGAAAATGTGAATAAATTTAAACCTAAAAGTGCCTAAGGACCAGAGTGCGCTATGAGCGGGAATGAACCCCTTTCACATATGACGTCAGAGTATAAGCAAAGTACAATAATGTGGGTAAGGATCATACCCTCGGAGGTAGCCACCAATACTGAGATTTGCCAAGAATCCTCGTTGATATGGACTTTCAGTAGCTAAAACCTGGAGGGCGCAAAAACAAGGGTGAGTGGATCTGAAAATAAAGTTTTTAATAAAAACCTTTTGAAAATGTTATAACGCCGCGCTGTAGAACACGTATAACTTTCTAGAAAATAATAATACATATGTATATAGAAATCATGCTCGAGAGTAGTGAAAACCAAGTATATGCCATATCAAGTATCTCAGCAATGAAATAAGTAAGTTGGGTGAAATAAATCAAAGTAAAATGGTATATCAACCGGAGTCACCTAACGTGACTTGTATAGCTGAACTTATTGCTCATCAATCCAGCCGGAGTCACCTAATGTGACCTGTACGGCTCTAAACCTGCACACGACTCGGAACCACCTAATATGGTTTGTATGACAGGCTGGGTGTAAATAAGTACGCTCAAGTGCTACGATCACGTGAAGGTTGTGCGATGAATCGTAGGTCACCTACGAGTCGGAACCACCTAATGTGGTTTGTACAACAGGCTGGCAAAGCTATACTAATGCATATGCTAAAATGTAAAGCAACCATGACATGGCATTTTAAACGAAATTCCATTTAAAAACATTTCTAGCAAAAATGGAAACATATATACATATATATAGAAAACCAAAAGCCCACTCACCTGGAGTCCGCGCTACAACTCCCTAGCACAAACATCAAGGCGTCACGAACGATCGGCGCCTAGAACAATTATCAAATCATGTCTTAGAATTCTTATCAATAGAACACTTAACTTACATATCATATTCGGGAAGATCCGTATGTCGGATTCCCGATACGTAAGTTTCTAACATCCTCAAATATTATGTATTATAACATATCAAATTTGGGTGATGATCCAACGGTCGGATCGTTGATTGCTATAATAATCAAGTGGCGGACCTTAATGGAACTACGTTCAAATGACGGAAATTCGTCAATCAGACTTCACCAATGAAATTCGTCAATGAGAGAAACAACTTTCATACATGTGGCCAAGCCCAATTTGGCAGGGAAAACACTTGAAATCCACCTCGATCTGTCGAAAACCCTTGAAGTGGGTGTTCTTGATTCAACTCCAAACAAGCTTCGACGCCTCCAAGGTTGATTGGTCTTTGTTTCTGGGTTCAAGGAAAGTCTAATGGTGGTAGAGATAGAAGGACTGTGCTTCAAAAATTGGCGAATTGCCACCAAGAACAACATGATACCGTCGGTGCCATTCTCACGAAGCCAAGACCAAATCTTGTCTAATTTGTGTGGAAAATTGAAAAAGAAAGGCTGGTGAGAAGTTCCCAGGTGATAACTCGGTGTAAATCGTCGGAAATTGGTTGGAAAACCATCGAAACCCATAGGGTTTCACAGTTTCCACGGGTCGGGTCGTAGAGAACTAGTAAGGGATTCATGATCCCTTTGTTCTCACCCTTCTCCTTTCCCCTCTTTCTTTTTTCTCCATTGGTCACTCACCATCTCTCTCTTCTCCCGGTTGGCTTCACATCCCCATCCTTTCTCTCCTTTATAGCCTATCTCCACCGTCCATCTTTTCTTCTTTAAATCTGGACCACACATGTGGCTCCACCAGATTTTACTCCAAAAATCTGGAGTATTCCAGAAAATAATAAATTTACAACTTTACCCTCGACTTCATTTGTTAATAACTCATTCATTATAACTCCAAATTACGTTTCGTTTACGCCCACGCGTCCGTAGCGACGAGTACTACAAGAATATGGCAAGAAAACAAGTCTTACATGACATGACATGGCAGTCAACAAAAGTCAACATTTTGCCTCGAAGGGCATTTTCGTAATTCACTTATTAAAATTATTAAAACTGTAACTTTTGGGGACGGGTCGTTATAGTGGGCCTCATTTTCACTTAAGATTGTCCTCATACAGTCCCTATAGGTGAGAACATGCTATGTATCCTGTGAGTCCCTATACCTTTAGGGACTCACTTTCCGATCTATTGGAGATTCATTTTGTCTCTGTATTTGTTTTATACCCATTTATAGGTGGTTGTCCCTATCTAGGGACTCCACAGGAGATGCTCTAAGACCTCTCACTTACAAGTGAATATGAATACCACTAGAATTGTCTAGGTGACTTTAACGAAGTTGAGAATCGAAATCATCTCGCATGAACTAAGTTGATTGACTCCTCCCCCACATGGTAATCAACCTAAGGGAACTGAACACGTGTTAGCCCATAGGTGTCCAAGCGTAGGGGAAGGTCCCAAGGTGCTGGTTTTTTGTTTTGAATGAACAATATTATCTACACTAAGAAGAATGAGATGGGCTTAGCCTCACAATGAGCTAGCAATAATGTAGTTCAAATATACCTTTTGCAAGAACCAAACCTAAAATCTCTCACTTGTAAGTAGAGATAAATACATTTAGATCGTAGTACTAAGTGGTCAAGGTGTTGAGTTTGTTCCGCTGTGTGAAAATATTAAATTTTTTATTTTATTTTGTATATTAGTGTTAATTGTTTAGTTAAGTGAGTGAACGCATGTTAAAAACTTAGAGACAGCAGACGCGCGGCCGTAGCGGGTAAGCACACGTCACGTGGCCGTCTCTCACCCTCCGTTAAAAAGCAGCCTCCCGTTTTCTCCTTCGTGACTTCTCTCTTCCTTTTCACATCGACATACCTTCCTCTCTCTGGTCTTCTTCTTCCCCTCGCAAAATCAACATAAACCCTAAAAAAATACTTAGGAATTTGAAATATTAAATTAATTTCGTTCAGCTTTTGCAGATCTCAGACGCGTCGCGATTGAAGCTTCAGAAGAAGGCTGCGTTTCTGTACTTGTTCTCAGGTGAGTCGCCAACTCGTGCTGAGTCAACCCTAGGTTTTTTTTTTAATTTATTTATTTATGTAATTGTCAAATTTCGTTAATTGTGTGTGTTTTGCGAGTGGGTCTTGTTTGATTATCTGATTAGTGTTTTTCTTCCGTGGTTCTTGGAGTTTTGGATTTTGTTAATCGGTTATGCTGGGTTTGTGTCTGTTTGGTTGCTGAGAAAATGCTAGGAAAGGGGAACAAAATTGAGAGAAAGTAGAAAGATTGGGTTTTTCTGGTTTTGTGCTTTTTGATAAAGTGAGAAGATTACCCAAGTTTTAGTCTTGTTTGAATTTCCTTTCTTTTTCTCAGAAGCCAAGCGGATCGTTAGAAAGCTGTGTTCTTTTTTGTTGATTTGTCTTGGAAATGTATGGTGTTTGTTGCGTGCAGCTTGGGGTAGTTGAAGATTGAAATTTTTGGCAATTTTTCGGGTAAAATTCGAGTAGCTTAGAGGGTTTTCTTGTTTAAAGTTCGAGCTCTGGGTCTCATGAGAATTGTTAGGGGAATGCAGAGATCGTTTCCCGAGGAGCAGAGCGTGCTGGGCTGGAAGAAAACCTTCAGCCAAGGGATTGGCGTGACTGTGCCCAAGGCCAGAACGCGTGACAAACATAACTCTAAGTTTGGGGTTTTGTAAAGGATTTTAGGCTAGGGTTTTGAAGACGTTAAACATTGAATGCAATGACTCGAATTCTGGTTCAGCGAGGTTCTTCGAGTGGTTCTTCTTCCAATTCAACTCGTCCTTCTTCCTTGTCTGGGTCTTCTTCTGCTTGGGCACAGCCACAGGTTAATAATCCTCAGGTTCTTTCGGTTGTGAAAGATGAGGAAATTGTTGAGGAGGCACAGGAAAATGTTATTTTGGATGAGCTGCCAGAGTATTGTGAGAATGGTGACAATAAGGCTGTGAAAAGTGAGGATCTTTTGACAGAAAGCTTTAATGATGACAGTGTGAGTCCAAGTGATGAACTAGCTGATGGGGAGAAAGTTGGTAAAAATGACATTGCAAGCCCAGGGGAATTGATGAAAGGTCTAGACGGGCTGAGGATTTCTGAAAGGGTGACAGTTGAAAATGTGGACTGGAGCAGGGATTCTTTACAGAATGTGATTGGGAGCTCTCAACCACCACCTCCTCCGGTCCCTCCCCCAAAACTTCCCTTGGCAAACTCAAATTCAAGGAGATCTGTCTCAGGAAGTTCAAATGCTGTGCGGATTGGACCTTCTAGAAGAGCAGTTGCCTGGCCTGTTGTTTCAACTAGGACTTCGCCGAATGGGTCGCGGCCTTCTTCTCCCAGGTCTCATGGTGAAAGCGAGGGGTACAATAGTGCTGATGAGCAAAGTCCTTGCTTTGTATCTTCCTATGATGACACTGTAAGTTTCTGATCTTATATATGCAAATAAATAGGAATATCTGATGTCTTCCTTAGTAGGTTTTATTGCAAAGAATCCCAGTGTTCTAGAAGGAATTGAAAAACGTGTCATAAGATAATTTTTTTTTTTTTTTTTGGCGATTTTTGGTACATTGTTCAAATATTTGCTTTGGTTTTTTGGTACTCAAGCATGATTGCATCCTAAAGTTGAACTTTTTAACTATTGTATGTACATGTTCTCAGAAACTAAGAAACAGCAGCATCCCAATATCAACTTAATACAAACTCCTCCATATCAGGAAGAAATGTTTAACAAAACGCTTATGCAGAAGCTAAATGCGGCCTCATTAAAATTCTTTACTTTTTATTTCATGCCTTGGAGGGCGCATTTGCACCCCCAGTGGGGTCTTACATTTGTTTGCTCCATTCTTCACTTCTAATTCAGAAGTCTCAAATTGGCATGTTAAATCTATGTCAGGAAAGAGAACGACAGTTTGAAATTGATATCAGACGTGCAAAAGGTTTTGAAGTGAAAAAAATGCTGGAGGATGGGAATTGTCTCTTTCGTGCTGTTGCAGATCAAGTTTATGGGGATTCTGAAGCCTATGACTTGATCAGGCAAATGTGCATAGATTACATGGTATTATTCCTTACCCGTCCTCTATTTTTTATGCCATTTATGCTCTTTATTAGGCGCTGCGGATACGTACAGATGTTTGGTACTTATTATTATGACAGCTTAATTTGGAATCTGGCCATGTAATGTTATCATATACTCACAAATAACAACTATGGGGTTGTTGGACAATGTTGTAAAGTGAATTGGTAAACCCCACAGATGTTACTAAGCGGGTAATGAGGAGAAAAATGAAAGATTTGAATGGTAAAATAGAAGAAAAATCATGGAGTAGAGGGAAAAGTTTTTCATAGTAACAATACTTATAGTTTTGATTCCCATTAATTGTTAAAGAAACAAATTACTGGACATGAACATAAATATTGCTTTCTTTATCATAATTTCATCAGTTAATGCTATACCATAATCTTTTTTGTACCCACTTAATGCTATAGTCGCCATGATTTCTGATGCTAAGTTCTATTTATTTTTCCAGGAACGAGAGAGGGATCACTTTTCTGAATTTATTACAGAAGGATTTACCTCTTATTGTAAGAGGAAAAGAAGAGACAAGGTATGTCATATCATAGTTCCATTGATGCTTTACTCAAAATATTTTATCGATGAGGTATGCCTACACAATAGCTCCGTATAGTCTTTTAAATTGGCATCTTGAGTTCCACTAGTTTATTCCCAGAATAATGGTAATGTGGTGGAATGTTAATTGATGCATGTCTTCTTAAAGATTGTCATCCTATTACAATATCATCCCTACGTTCCAAGGTTAGTTTCATAGTAGTTATTTCTAAGTTGGAAACTGGCGAAAGCTTTTGTAGTATCCGTTCATGTTCTTCAATGCCCTTCCCCCTTTTTTGTAGGCGAAGTTTCATAACAGTGGTATGCTTGTATGTCTCTACTCTTTATGTGTCTATTTAACAGCGGTATGCTTGTATGTCTCTACTCTTTCTGAAAGTGAGTCAACGCTTACTGTACTTGACTTTAAAGGGTGAAATGGCTTATTTTATTGGTCTGTTTAACAATTTAATTTTATCTTATTTTATTTTGAATGTTTATAAAACAATCTAGTAAGGGTAATAAAATGGGAGTGGGAAACTTAATTCTGTGTAGTAGTCTTTGATAAATACATTTAAGTTAAACTTACTAGTTATGTGGGAAAAGAAGCAGATTAATTCCAGGTTGAGTTTTATTCATTAGATTACTAACTTTATTCCTAAACCTTTTATAAAGGTGGTAAATAATGAAATCTTTATCCTGGTAGGTGAAATTACAACTATAATGCTTGCAGAAGTAATATATTTTTCCAAAAGAGTTCACAATTGAGTGTTTTGGAGATCTAGAATTTGTTTCATTTTTTGTAGTGAATCTGGGGAAATTAATAAAGTCTTCCTTTCTTTACTGTCAAAATTTTGGTAAAAGCATCAGTTTAAATGACACAAAATTGCCACAACGAAAGCCTCATATTTTGGTTTAACCAAAGGACAGCTAAAAACCCTCTCAAAAAAAAAAAAGGGCCTTTTCCTATGTTATTATGTAATCTTAGAGTATTTTGAGCTTGGAGCCACTAGAATTGATTTTTCTTCCGAGTTAAATTGTCTTGTTTATAAAATATTTAGCATGAGCGTCCTATTGGCAAATAGTTCGTAATGGTCCCTCATATTGATGGTGATGTGATTCCCATTTTTATCGAATGTAATTTTGTGTGCGACTTTTGCAAAGGTGGTGTTGGTTGAATCATGATTTCAAATTACATATTGAATTTGAATTCCGTTAAGAGAGGTTGGGTTGCATCGGTGAAAACTGGCAATGGCTTTGACGTTTTTTTTTTTTATTAAATGATTCCTGGGCTATGATGATGATGCATGTTCTCAATGAAAGGCCCTCTGCAAAAGGAGTTTTTATCTTTTTAGTTCCTCACGACATGGTCATATCCAGGCTCAGTCGGTGATAAAAGATAAAAGACATCTTAAGAATTTAAAAATATTGTGGACGGAAACTGCCCAACTTTGCACCCTCAGTGAAGGCATTCAACACCTAGATTTACACCCCCAAGGAAGTATTTGCCAACCTATCTTGGAAACTGCCCTGAATGGCTGTTGATTTCTCAGATGACACTGCACTATATCCTGGTGAAGAGTAATCAGTTTTCCTCTTGAAGTTATGCTTGCTAATTGTGAGAGTGCGGAAAGGCCTAGCTGCTGAATTATGACACATTGATGAATATTGTCAATGATCATAATAATTTTATGGTAGGTGACTCAGGTGAATTATAATAGAGATGGTATGATTAGAAAACTTAAAAGGTCTTATCCCCAGGATTGCATGGTACCTATTTTACCCTCCTCACCGTCTCTTTACACACTAAGCATGGTTGTTTTTTCAGTCGCCCTTCAAGTGTTTGTCTTTCAGTAATTTTATATTATGACTTGGATCTGGTGGCTTCAGATTTCACCATGTATTAACCTTTGTTTAGTTTTATACTTAATGGTAATATGATGTCTGTTAATTATTGGCGAGTGAAGTTTTGCACAGTTCCCCATCTTTTCCACTGCAGATGTGTTTAATAGCTCATTTTATCTTATGTCAGGTATACGGAAACAATGTGGAGATCCAAGCCTTATCTGAAATGTATAATCGGCCCATCCATATTTATTCCTATAGCACAGGTTTTGAGCTGAATAATGATTTCTTTCGTTCTTCCAGTGAAATTTTCTATTTGCAATGTTTTGTTAACTTAAGTGAGTTTGATGCAGAACCAATTAATATCTTCCACGGAAGCTATGACACTGACACACCACCCCTACGATTAAGTTATCATCATGGAAATCATTACAACTCTCTTGTTGATCCCCGTCGTCAGACCATCGGTGTAGGACTTGGGTTCAGCCGTCTTCGTGGGGTGGGTGCATGTGCTTAATCATTCTATATTCTTCTGGCTTTAATTATGTTACTTCTAATACATGTGGATGAAACATGGATAACATAGATTTTCCTTTTCTTTCTGACATGATAAAAATAGGCTTGTATATAAAGGGGAAGGTTAAAAAAGGAAACTAAGAAAAGAATTCTGAAGTGTAACACTATTGCCAGTTTCCTTCAAAAAAGTTCGATTACTATTTACTGCCATGTGAGATGGGCTCATAAATTTGTTCTGTACTTTATTAGGCTTTGGCTGCTTCCACTCCTATATAAACAAAAGAAGTTACTGTTAGGGGAAGGAGAACTGTGTTTAAGGGGTGTTTGGCTTGACTAAAGTGAATTTGATTCATTTTAAATCTTTTTCGGGGGCTGGGAGTGGGGGTGGGGAAGAAATACGGTGGGATGATGAAATTGGGCACTGAAAATGGCACCATTCACTCAAAGCATTGTCAGTTATTAGTGTTTCCAATTAAAGAAGTTATCAAAGAAAGCAAGGATGTGATGATCACATCACTTAACGGGCCAAGCTATCCAGTGGTTTTGTTTCTCACTATTTTTTCGTTTGTTGGGGGTATTGGATGAAGGGTATTTGGAGGTTTGGTAACCTAGCTGTAGTTCAGACTTTCTGAAAGATATTATTCGGTTAACTGTTCAACTTACATCTCATGTTTCATCTTTTCGTTTCTGTAGTCAAATGTTGACAAGGATCAGGTCAAGGCTGCTATTAAGGCTCAACAAGACCAACAAATTGATAATGCAAGTATCTTGATATTTGAGTGTTATAGTTTTCAAAAATACTTGACCAGGAATATCATGATCACTTTTTCCTCTCATCTTTACTATTGGCAGGCACTTCTAGCTGAGGGGCGATTTTACTCGGATCTGGAGCTTACTGAGAAAGAAATTGAGCGCATGGTGATGGAAGCTTCAAGGCTTGAATATGCAGACGGCACATTTAAGCAACAACTTGGTCGTAGAGAATCTTCCACTTCTAGTGCTGAGCCGTCATCTTCTGGAGCTAGTGAGTTTTCCGTTCCTGTGTTTCTTCCACCCGCCCTCCCTCTCTCATACAGAACTCGGTAGAAGAATATTTGTAGTTTGAGTGGGCTCAATTTTTAGGTATTAGACTGCATTTTTGGATGATATAGTTTGGCAACACTTGGGTACACGGGTGAAATTTGCATGTAGGCTTTGATTAATTCTACGCTTTTACTGACTAGAATGTCACATGAACAACAGGATCATCGGGCAGTGAGACTAAAATGGGAGGGAGGGACAAAGGATTTCAGGACTCGACCCTTAGCAGTAGTATGCAAGTCGTGCTATCGATGGGGTTCAGCTACCTGCAGGTGATCGAGGCATACAGCATATTCGGAGATGATGTCGATTCCATGGTTTGTTACTTGTTGGAAACTAGCAGCAGTGACCGGCGCAAAGGCAAGGCAACTGAATGAGCTGGTACGAGCCAATTTGGGGATGCTCGCGAGATTGTGCTGGTTTCGTTGTGCTGAAACTGTAGTGTTGGTAAAGAAAATGATTCCTAATTAATGGAGGCCTGTGAATCTTAAATATGTTATCCAAGTTTGTTCAATAAAATGGATTTACTAGTCTGTTTTTGAGGTCTCGATAGCGAACCTTTTCGTTAACTAAGCACTCTCTTGTCTTTTGTCATCACGTTGAATAGAAATTAAACGAAAATAGCGGATATAATTAAACAGGAGTGTGTAACGGGGGGAGAGAATGTAATCTGAGGGGTTCAAGGAGCCATTTTAATAGCTAGCTAACGTGTTGACGGACTTGTGGGTATGACAGGTAGGAAGCAAAAAAGGAATGCACTTGGGTTGGTTGGAGGGAATCACTTTTGCCGAAAGACTTTGACTCAACCAACGGTACAAAGGCCGAAGAAGTTGGATCTTGACAACTAGAAATTCAATTACTTCATAACTGCTACGTGAGAGTGGTCCCGAAAGCTCCAATAATTGTAGTCAAGGAACACTCTTTGAATACGAGCAACGAACTCTGGCATAAAATGACTACTAGTATTGAAATAGAGAACAATACAATTCTCTTCACAAGAGTTCAAACTTAAATTAAATATAATGTTTTCCTTATTTATCGAAAATGTTGTGCTCTAAAATCAATTTCCTTCAATCAACATTTCGTTACAAGGCGGGAAAATGTTGTCAGCGTAGCAGCAGCACTTATGGGCGAAGTGGGAAATGGAACTTTCCAGAAACAAATGTTAAAAACCCCCAAAACCTCGAATTCCCTTCTAGAAGAAGAATGTCGGGGTATTTTCGTCATTGTGAATAACAGAGTCACGGGTTCGCTTGAGAAACAAGGTTAATGATGTCTTTGGACCTTCGCCTTCCTTAAATTCCGCTTCTTCCTCTGAAATTTTGCGGTTGCGGCGGCGGTGCGGTGGCGGAGCAGAAGCCCAAGTTAGAAAAAAAATGTCGCAGAACGGGAAATTGACGCCGAATCTGGACCAGCAGAGCACCAAGCTTCTGAATCTGACGGTTCTGCAGCGAATCGACCCCTTCGTCGAGGAAATTCTCATCACCTCCACTCACGTCACCTTCTACGAGTTCAACACTGACCTCAGCGAATGGGTAGTCCTTCCTTTTCTACTTAATTTTTCATTATTTTCTTCTTGATATCTCATTATTTTTTGCTTATGATCTGATTCCATTTGCATAATTCTCTCTGATTTTTTTTCCTTTCCATATTTAGAGTCGCAAGGACGTTGAAGGATCGCTCTTCGTGGTCAAGAGGTAATTCTGTGTAGCAAGATTTGGGTTTTTTTTTTTTTTTTTGGTTGCAATTTGGATTTTGGGGGTTAATTTTGTTGCTGTTATTCCAGGAATGCGCAACCTCGGTTTCAGTTCATTGTGATGAACCGGCGGAATACTGGTCAGTGCATTTGCATTGTGTTTTAATTCCTGATCCGTGTCGTTTCGCTGCATGTGTAGTTCTCGTAGATTGGAAGTTTTATTGGTATTTGTGAATGGGATTGATCAGATTTTCCGAGTTACTAGCTAAACTTGATCCTTTAGTGTAGACTTCAAAAATGGAGAATTTGCTATGGTACTATTAGGTTAGGGTTTAACTTAGTAAGTACGCCAAATGTCTCACACTAGAAGAAGAAAATATGTTGAAGTAGCGTATGAGCTCTCGGGTGTCCTTCCCTTAGCTGGCTTGGCCTGCTCTGGTACCAAATATCATTAGAACCAGTCTCCAATCATTACTGGAGTATGGACTCTGGACCACATTTCTGAGTTCTTTTTTTTCCTTTAATTTGATTCCTCTCTGGTCTCATGTTCTTCTTTGCCTCGTGTTGAATCCTATGCATTTGATCCTGCATATGGTGAATATCTTGTACTCCACACAGCAAGTGTGCTACATGAAAGGCTAAGCACCAGAGGGACCAAGTATTTGAGATTGAGAGATGAAAGTTCATTCACTTGAGGCTTCAAAATCTTCTGATTTGGTTATTAGCCTTTCAAGTATTGTTTAAGTCTATATCTCAGTTTATTCAGACGCCTAATGATGTTTTTCTTTTAATTTTTATATGGCATGCTTTTTATGTTTAAACTTAACTAAATTTCTGCGTTTTAAGATGATTTAGTATGTTTGCATAAGCAGAAAATTTGGTGGAGGATCTCTTGGGAGATTTTGAATTTGAAGTCCAACATCCATATCTATTGTATCGAAATGCGGCTCGAGAGGTCAATGGCATTTGGTTCTACAATCCAAGTGAATGTGAGGAGGTGGCAAATCTTTTTAGCAGGTATTGTCTTGTGGCAGTTTTAAGTTGATTGAAAATTATAATCTTTGTGGTATTTTTTATTGACACGATCAACAACTTCGTGGATGCAATAAGTATGCCAGTGAATGGATATTCTATTACAATAAGGCATTTATGTGAACAGTGCATAACATTTAAATATCTGAAGATCTTAAAAGTAATCCAATAATGTACTATTTAAGATTTATCTCATTTTTTTTTTTAAGACAAGTAAGAAAAATAGATGAGTAACTCTAAACTTTAATACATGTTAATACGTGCCTAAAATAGATATAATCTTTTTACCTGTGTATGTTTATCAGTCATTGTTGAAATACGTTGTGGGCAGAAAAAATCCTTCCAGGGAATCTACCCTTTACTAGTTTCACTCTGTTGGACATAAATAATGAAGGCTAGTTTTTGTGCCAAGATACAATTGAACTTATCGTGTATACAATTAGTTTAAAACTTTAAATACGAGAAATATGTCTCATGGTGAGAGAAAGTTGAAGGTTATTGTGACATAGTAACGCCATAAGAAATAGTTTTGCGTACCACTCTTTCGAGTGTTTACTTTCTTATATACTTTGTGTAACTTTAATTTATTGGTCAACTGAAGTTCCGGAAATGCATTTTTTAGTGTTTTAATTATTGGTTTCTCACATGACATGACCTAGGGATGTTATTATTGCAACTGTTTGCTGGGATCCTGACTGAATTGCATTTTATTTATCCTTCTTGTTTATATAAAAGTTAAAAAGGAAAAGTTGAGATGTGCTAAATTATATATTATCCTTAAGTGCTTTGTTTTTAAATCCATTCTATCTTTTATTTATGTGGCTCCAGGATTCTTAGTGCATATTCCAAGGTGCCTCAAAAGTCAATGGTATCACCAACAAAGAGGTAATATTCCTTTCATCCCTACTTAGCACTAATGTAGTTATTCCTTTACTTCTGAAGTCTGTGGAATTACAAAGTTATCCTTGTCGACAATAGTATATAAACTTCTGGCTTTGTAATATTGGTCATTTTGAAGGTGATATTTTCTTTTTGTATACTGCTGAGCTTGCAAACTTCAGGTTTGTAAAATTCTTGGAATATTTATCTATGTTTTATTCTCAATACAATAGCATAAGAAATTATGCGTTTATGCTGTTGAATATTTCAAATGTTCAGTTGTGCAATTCTGTAGAAATTTTAGTCATTTTGGTTATGATAACAACTGAAGGAAGAATGTGTTACTTTTGTAGTGAGTTTGAGGAACTGGAAGAAGTCCCAAGCATGGTTGTTATGGATGGTCCTTTGGAGCCATCATCATCAACTGCCTCTCATGTCACAGACGTTCCAGATGATCCAGCTTTTGTGAACTTCTTCAGTGTATGTTCTCTTCCTCTTAATGTTCTGCAGTTGTGGAAGTTTGTTCTGGCCTTTTGTAGTATTAACCGTCTAGGATTTCATGAATTCCTAATTTTGAGTCATTGATTGAGGAATTTTGGTTGTTCTATACAGCTGTAGAATGAAAGTGTTTTGATTGTCTTAACAATTTCTGCATTTGATGCTAATATTGGTTTACTCTCAAATACAGCGAGCAGTAGTTAATGTGGGATTGTTGGTTCTAGTCCTTTAAGAAATAATAAATAAAATTGCCAACGGAGTACCTCCTAAATGTGCCTGTTTGCACTATGTTTTATGCTCATTTCAAGGAAATATAGACTTGGTAAGTGGATGCCTACATATACATGCCGCAGCACAAGCACGTGTCTGTATACAGCTTGGACATACTGATGGATGTAATTTTGTGTTCATGCATAATGTCATCCCTGCATATGTATATATATTGGTGAACATACCGATGGATATAATTTCAGGATCGATGAAACATCTTTTTTCATTTTTCCTATATCTGGGCTCATCTAAATTTGGACATTAATTGCAGACGGCTATGACTATTGTGACTTCTTCAACTACAGCAATTACCGGACAGCCTTACCAGTCGTCTTCGACAGTCTCCCTACCTTCTCATCCAGTCGGTGTTGCCCCTTCAAGTATTCCTGGCATGCAAATACCATCTACTCCACTGTTATCGTCTACAACTTTAGCCTCTTACCTTGACCTCCCTGAAGCCCATAACACCACCAACTTGGCCAGTAATCTTGTAAAGCCATCTTCTTTTTTTGTTCATCCTTCCTCTTCAGCAACAACCATGCCACCTGTCTCTGCATCAATCCCTGCTGCTCCTCTTCCTCAACCTGCTGTAAGTGTGCAACGTCCATATGGTGCTCCTCTTTTACAACCTTTTCCACCGCCAGCTCCTCCACCGTCTCTCACTCCTGCTTCTTTCCCGACTCCGAACTATGGGCCAGTTAACAGAGATAAAGTACGAAATGCACTCATTCTGCTTGTACAGGTTAGTCTTGTCGTAATGGTGCTATGTAGATATAATTACACTCATTTTTTTTTCAATTGAAAAGATTAAATGTTTGTGGTAATGTTCAAAATTCGTTCACATATTCTGGAAATTGTTTAAAAATGCATCATTAACGTTTTGTAGTTTTATAATCGATAAAAATGCATCAAGGAAACAAATACCTAGGTTTATATCTGCTGATGCCTTTTTCCAGGAGACATATCCGTTTGCATTACAACTTTGAATTTTTTGAATTATATTGGGTACCGAGTCATGATCTAGAGTTCTCGACTGAAGTAACTGCTTAATAATCTTTAGGTTCTTAATTATGATTATCATTAACTTTGTTCATAATTTGAATATGAACTTTGCCTGCTCTGTAGGATAATCAATTCATTGACATGGTATACGGAGCACTCCAGAAGGCACCCCACTCATAACCTTTTCGGAAAAGCTTTACTGTCAGCATGTTAACGCAGGCCAGTGAACGCCTACCTGAAGCAGCAGAGTCTACAAGCTGGATTGTTTTTGTTCGTTGTGTGCCTTCTTCTTTCATTCCCCCTTTAAACGTGTGCATATGATGTATAGGATTTCGATTCTCATTCTCATGGGAGGGGAATTTCGATATAGGGGTATTTGTAAGTTTTGAATTGACAGTGCCGCGTAGTTTTGAATGTTTGTTTAGTCTTTTACCTGATGCGCGAGTGAAGACCTTTGTATTCTCAGCAATCTTATACCCCTAAACACCCCCTGAACCCAAGCAAGTGAATTTTAAACACAATGCTGATGCGTACTAATTGTTAATTGAAAGTGCACTCGACTTTTTTTTAATGAAAAGTGTGATCAGCACTTCAATTTAGTCTCGCATTTTGTTTTCGCTAGGTAAGAGTGAGTTTTTAGGTATTTTTCTGCACTTTTGTGTTTCCTTTGAGGAAATCTTGCATAAGTTTGTCCAAGTTTGTTAGCAAATAACAAAAATAGGCCATTAGACCAACAAAAACAATTAAATGCAAATTGGAGATGGAGCTTGAGTTATCAAATTTGATTTATGGCGTTGGCAAATGGTTAGAAAGATTTTCTACTTGAATGTAGATATGCGAGTTTGTCAGGGAAATTGGAGATGAGAAATCATAGCCCTCTTTTAATGTAAATGTACTACCTCAGTCAATTTCTGCTATAAATTTCATCAAAATTGCATCGCATGAGCCTTTTTTCGCGTGTATTTTCACTACTTCATGCCCCTTGATGACATAGAGAAAGAATTTCGATGATAAAAGGTCGTGGAAACAACTCTATACTCGTGAATTATCCTCAATCTTTTAAGCACCTTGAAGTAGATAAGTACCCTTGAAAAATTGTTTATGACAGATAAAAAAACCCTCAGCCATCCATTTGTCACGTTTTAATCAATTCCCTTGCAGGAAGAGATCCCATCCGGATCTCTCCCACCAAGTCTTAGGGATCCGGAGATCTGGACCCTTGAAATTTGATCTAATGGCTACAATTATTATAACTTTTAGAAGGACTCCATGTTTGTAGCTGTTTGATCAAATTTCAAGGGTCCGGATCTTCGGATCTCTAGAATTTGATGGGAGAGATCCGGAGAGGATAGCATCCCTTCCTTTGCCCTTCTCTCAAAGTACATTAAAAAATTGATCCCTTCCTTTGCCCTTCTCTCAAAGTACATTAAAAAATTGTTTTTATATAAACTATTGAATTCTCAACACATGCTTAATTGGGAAATGTCATAAAAAAAGGAAAATACTCCAAAATGGAACAATTTCTTAATCTTGGGACAAAAATAGGACAAACTGGCCATGCACAAGCTATGCACAAAATCGAACTAAAATACCCACATATAAATGGGTTATTCCTCTCATTTTCTAATAACTCTCTCTACTCTCTCTCCCTTTCTCAGATCTCTGAGCTTCGATTTCGAAGCGATGGAAGTCCAAAGAAAGGCGAAAAGAGTGAGTTGGGCTTTGGGTTCACCTCATACCTTTGATTTTGAACAAAGGGATGCGAGAGAGAGGTAAGAGTGAGCTAGATTTTGTACCATATTTTCTGTTTTGGCCGGAAAGTTCCATTTTTTCCGACGACTGAAGCTTCAGCAAGCATAGTAAGGTAGGGTATTTAGTTCCAAGTTCCTTCATCAATGATTTATGGAATGAATGGGTTGTTTGTAAGATGAATTAATACTTAGAAGTTAAATTAGGGTTTGTATTTCATGTTGGGGCGTATGGGTTGTGGAACAAATTTCAAGTTTTGACGTGCTACAAGACTGGGATGGAAAAATTTCTGGTTCAAGTGTTCAATTGCAGAAATTTGTGAAATTTTTTCCGTAATGTGCATGTTGTGCGCATATTGTGACATCCCACATCGCCCAGGGGAGTGATCCTTAAATGTATATTCCCATCCTTACCTAGCACGAGGCCTTTTTGGAGCTCACTGGCTTCGGGTTCCATGGGAACTCCAAAGTTAAGCGAGTAGCGCACGAGAGCACTCCTGGGATGGGTGACCCATCGGGAAGTTCTCGTGTGAGTTCCCAAAAACAAAACCGTGAGGGCGTGGTCGGGGCCCAAAGCGGACAATATCGTGCTACGGTGGTGGAGCGGGTCCGGGAAGTGGTCCGCCCTGGGCCGGGATGTGACAATTTGGTATCAGAGCCTATCCCTGGCCGTGATGTGCCGACGAGGACGTCGGGCCCCTAAGGGGGGTGGATTGTGACATCCCACATCGCCCAGGGGAGTGATCCTTAAATGTATATTCCCATCCTTACCTAGCACGAGGCCTTTTTGGAGCTCACTGGCTTCGGGTTCCATGGGAACTCCGAAGTTAAACGAGTAGCGCACGAGAGCACTCCCAGGATGGGTGACCCATCGGGAAGTTCTCGTGTGAGTTCCCAAAAACAAAACCGTGAGGGCGTGGTCGGGGCCCAAAGCGGACAATATCGTGCTACGGTGGTGGAGCGGGCCCGGGAAGTGGTCCGCCCCGGGCCGGGATGTGACAATTTGGTATCAAAGCCTATCCCTGGCCGTGATGTGCCGACAAGGACGTCGGGCCCCTAAGGGGGGTGGATTGTGACATCCCACATCGCCCAGGGGAGTGATCCTTAAATGTATATTCCCATCCCTACCTAGCACGAGGCCTTTTGGGAGCTCACTGGCTTCGGGTTTCGTAGGAACTCCGAAGTTAAGCGAGAAGGGGGCTAGAGCAATCCCATGATGGGTGACCCACTGGGAAGTTGCTCGTGAGTTCCCAAAAACAAAACCGTGATGGAATGGTAAGCCCAAAGCGGACAATATCGTGCTACGGTGGTGAAGCGGGCTCGGGAAGTGATCCGCCCCGGGCCGGGATGTGACATTTGGTATCAGAACCTATCCCTGGCCGTGATGTTCCGACGAGGACGTCGGGCCCCTAAGGGGGGTGGATTGTGACATCCCACATCGCCCAGGGGAGTGATCCTTAAATGTATATTCCCATCCTTACCTAGCACGAGGCCTTTTTGGAGCTCACTGGCTTCGGGTTCCATGGGAACTCCGAAGTTAAGCGAGTAGCGCACGAGAGCACTCCCAGGATGGGTGACCCATCGGGAAGTTCTCGTGTGAGTTCCCAAAAACAAAACCGTGAGGGCGTGGTCGGGGCCCAAAGCGGACAATATCGTGCTACGGTGGTCCGCCCTGGGCCGGGATGTGACACATATGGTGTGCATGGCTACATCTTTATATGAGAAGCAAGAATGTTCAGTAGTTATGATGCACGTATGTTGAGCCCCATAATTTAGCAAGTATGACCACAACCTAGTTGGCCTCAACAAAAAACAAAATTAAGAAAAAAACATAAAGGACATTAAGGGTCATGCGTGTTCGTGAAATAACGACAACGAGTATCATGTTTTCCACGTGCACGGTTAAGCAGTGGTTGATATACGCAACAAGACTTTTCAAACTATCACTGTAACCTTATATACATAACAATTATGTTTTAATTGTATCCACTATACCATTATGTTGCCGTTAAAGTTTTTCTCGTTCTGTGCATATCATGTGTATGTACTATACATATTATGTGCATGTGGTGTGCATATTGTGAAATCCCGTTCCTGGATTTCACTGTTATAATTTACATATTTGTATTACTGAGATTATATATTATTTTCGGGAATTTATATTAATTTATTTGAATTTAGATTTTAATTAAACAAGTTATGAAGGTTGAGGTTTCGAAATTAATGATTTAAAATCCGTAGACCTTTCGAGGTCAAAATCTATATTTTTGGATAGAGCTTGATCCTATAAGTGCGTAGGTAAAAACCGTTCGCAAAACGGAATTATAATGGAAAAGTTACTGGCATTCAAAATCATTTCCTTCGTTTTATTAAAACTTAAATTTATATATTAATTGAATTCCCACCAGGTGGGAATTCAACCCAATCAGAATTAAAACCAAGGCCACCAATCAGAAGGGGGGACTCGGCCCAATCAAATGGGAGGTAAAATGAACCAATCTGAGGAAATGAGGGGGGAGGACCAATCAGAAAGAGGGAAAGGAGAGAAGAAGAAAATAGGGGGAATCGAGTAGCAGCCGACTCGACCCAACGGCTTGCAAACTTGATGCCATTCACGGCGTTTGATGCTAACTAATTAAGCACACAAATTAAAACCCTCTTTTGACAATTGTAGTAAAGATGCAAGTAGGGATCGTTCTAGACCGGGGATTAGGAGGGATTACTAATTCACTTGGAAACTGACTCAAAAACGTAAAACAAACGTTAAAACACTAAACTAGACTCAAAGAATACAAAACTAAACAATAAAACACTAAAAACAAATCAAAAGACTCAAAGAATACAAAACACTTATAAACACAAACTAAGACACTTTCTTAATACATTAGACACTAAAGTAAAGGGGGATTGAGGTTTTGACGAAATTAACTAAATGCAAAGATTGTAATTAAAAGGCAGAATATAAATATGAATGTGAGGAAAATATGGATGAATGATAGCTAGAAGGTTCTTCTCCACACATGTTACACTTGCATACAATTTGATTTTCAGTTGGTCTTTCGATAAATTATGAAACTCAACACCCCAGGTTAATTAGGTCCGCTTAAATTAACCGTCAAGTTTTCCTTAAGTTAATGAATTGGATGGGTTAGCGCAACGCAATTCAAAACATTCTCCAAAAGTCCTTTACGTGAAAAGCACAATAAAGATACAATCAAAGATCATTAAACATCATGAAAACTATAAGTGTTGACGAGGCATTCGTTACTATGATGAGCATGAAACTAGTGCCAAGAATTCATTTAACGCGATTGTTTATAAGCAACCTCCACTACTTGTGAAAATAAGTTCATAACTATTAGGTGAAATTCACTTATATTCTAGCGTCATATTCATGCATGAAAATTAAGCGTGCACTCTCAATAAACATACACAAATAAGTTATCAATCAAGCAGTTAAACAAATTGAATTCACCATTCATGAAATTCCAACCAAAAGTAATCAAATCATATTGCAAGCATAAACATGGTTTCGAATCACCCCCTAGCTAAATAGGGGTTTAGCCTCTCATGTTCACAAAAAGAGAAATACAATTGAATTTAAACATAAAGCACAAACGATTGATTACACCTAGAACGCCCAATGAATCCACTTGAATTTCTGCGCGTCTAAGTCCTCTTTCTTCTTCTCCTTGCTGCGGCTGTGATGTTTTTTGTGTGAAGGCTGCACGGTTTTTGGGAGTTGGGATGCACGGCTTGCAGGGAAAATATGGGAATTGGAGAAATATGGAAGGGTGGCTGCGGCTAAAGGACAAAGAATGGGCTGGAATGGAAGGGGGGGTGCACGGCTC